GGATTCATTCGCATGTGCTGGGATGTAGGCTCGATTCTGCGCATCCTTCGACTAGGATCGCCCAATCGCTGGAGCTGGTGAAGACATGATGAGGTCCAAGTGAGGTGATCGAGCTGTTTGGACGTGGCTTGCTCAGCTGATTGTGGCCTGCCAGCGATAACAGGTTCGGATCCAGACCTAGCCTATCGTAAAACCATTTATTCTGTATTATCAAAATTTCGGGGGGAGGCAGGCCAAACAATCGAATACATTCTCTGAGGGCGAGACGTCACTGAAGCTGGAGGCTGACAACAATCGTATGTGATCGTATAACGTTCCACAGCATCCGCAAGTGCTCGAATTTTACGAATTTTACAAGAAAATTTAGTAGCCCCGTTATTCGCTACGTGAACGTTGTGATGAACGCGCAGTTGTGCTCTTGTTGAACTCAACGAGGTCATTGACCCAGAGAATTGACCCACGCCCACTCACGGTATTCGTCTCAAAACCTGACAATCTCGCGTTCAACAATACGAGGGGCTCCTTTCTCGGATATTCTAGGCCGAACCTTGTCAGTTTGATCAGTCCAACATGTTCTCCGTGTCAACGTACCGTCCCGGAATGGCCCTCGATCGATCAGCCGTTCAGTCTCAACATACAAACTCGAAAGGTCTAGAAGGAGTGCCTATTCCCAGTAGTATGTATACACCAAGGTTATGGCAATGAGTATCAACGCAAACAAAGTGAAAGGGAGACTGAGCAGCGCGAAGCTCTCGGAGGGCGTATGTTGTGCACACCACCTCGATATCACCAATATGAGGAGCCTTCAGTCAGACCTGAGTACCCCCTCTCTTTCCCAACACCCACGTACCCCTTTCACCCCATTCCCCGACATACTACATATTGACAAGAGGCGAAAGTTCCTCCAACATGTCTCATCTGGTCATCACTGCGATCAATCCTCTGGTGGTGCACCTTCTGCGCCTTCCCAAGCAAGTAATCCGCACTCCAGACATGGTATCCAACGGGCATAGAGCATAGGGTTTCAAACGAGCGTTTCAAGGTCTTCGACAAATCACAATCGATCAGGACAAATCGCCCCGACGCGACTGTGTCACCGAGTGGCGGAGTTGCCTAAAATGGACGGCCGCTGTTCAAGACGAGGAGACATAGATTCAGTCACGACCTCGACTACATACTAATGGGCGCTTCTAATACGCTACAACTAGAAACGTAACATACCATAGTTTGCAGCTTCCCTTTTGGCTTTCGCCCTTCATCGGTGAGTGGCCTGGCCTCATCCCTACATGAATACTGATACAATTATTATTCACACACATATTTCTAGTTGATGAGCACATCGTACTTACCTGTGATGAGCGGCAAGCCTCTTTTTCTGGTTAATCCTGGTGCTTCGGCGCCTCTGAACGGCTCTAGGCTGGACAGGGTTACTCTATCATCACAGAAGGACGTTTTTCACATCAAAGAAATGCATTTTATCAAGGCGTTACGAGACTGACCATGGAAGGCTGGGTGACTGGACTAATCAGCAGGGACACTGGAGCTACCCAAGGCTCTTTAAGGGCAATGCTCGTCATGTGGCCACCGATCATCTCCTCTTCTTGCACTTGTACCTTTGCGGTATTTCTACGAAAATTGGGCATTAGTACAGCCAAAGGCGACACTCCAAAAGGTCTACTTGCAAAACATCTCCCATCCACTGGACTCCATCCATTGTTTCAAGTTCTCTTCCGGTTTTTACTTCTTCTATGAGATAATTTGGATGCAATCCGGCTCACGGTTGGACTTCTGTTAGGCTTTAAAGGTTAGGGGGTGTTTTTTTTTGGTCACCACCCAGCGCTGCCTCAGGTCTAACCTATATATTTACATTCAGAAAACATTGGCGAATCAGAGAAAGCTTCCCCCTGGTTGCCCATCTGCAACTCGGCTGAATGTTCCCCCAGTGGTTATATTACTTAGGCTCTCCCAGCTGGTTGCAATCATAATTTCAAAAGATAGATGCAGATAGGGGACGCCGTTTGCATCAAATGTTCTGGCTCTCGGTGATTACCAACAACCCTTGTCGATGGACCTCCTCAAGACACTTATGTAGCTATGAAGAAGCCCACTCTACAATCATTCAGGAGGATCTCGATATCTCATTCGTGAGCAAATATTTTAACTGGCGTCGAAGCGCTCTATTCACTATGACATTTGAAGTGTGTTCAATTTCAAGAGCCCTTCTCTCCTCTTTGCTGTCTGGTTCACACACCTAGGAATCTCTGTAGAAATCGGAAGTTAATCGCATACCATCAATCCCCCTGCGGTTGGAGATAGCGTGTCTCGCCGCTCCTTGGCCCAGTGGATCAGTAGACGATAAAGATCAGCAGTCTGTCATCTCTTGGGCGGGGTTTGACATAAGGCCACATGATTCCAAGGACCAGCTCAACCAGCTCGTCAGAGTCAAGCTCTATCATCACTTGGATCCATTTCACCAATGAGGCTTCTCTCGAGTTATGGTACCTCATTGTTCGCTCGAACAGTCGCCTTCATTCCTGGCCATACACTATTCGGTTAAGCGCATCCAGTTCTATTTCTACCGTGATATCAGTGTCAGTCATGGAGATCTTGGCCAAGAAATCGAATCGCCTCTTGCTATCTCTCTAAAATGGGGTTAAGGGTAGAAACGTAT